ATAGTTGAAAGAATTCCTGGATTCCAGTGATAGCAACTTGACGGTTCTCCCTTTTCACGGGTGTTGTTCACGCCACCGGAAAACACTGTTTAAAGCGATAGATTTTGAATGCACATAATTGCCATTCTGTGAGAGTCGATCTCTACAGTCATTTCGCCATGGCTGTGTCATTTTGGGATTAATGGTTATTGGTATCATTTGAGTTCTGTCAAATCAATCACTGATGTGCACACGGGCAGAGAACCATAGCACTGTGCTGACATGTCTTCGTATGGGGGAGGGGTCATCCAGGCCAGGTCTTATCCCCTGACGACTTGCTTGTAAGCCCCTCCCCCCTCCCCAATTCGGAAGAGTTTCTGACGTTCTGGCGTAGTCACCAGCTAGCTTATGGCATCACCTTGTCTTTATCGCTGCATCCCAGCCACGCATTACCCCGGTTTGTTACAGTGACCAAAGTCTGCGATTTCATCATTTTCCCCTTTAGTTTGCCAGTGACACCGTGTCATGAGTCACATTCTACCGCCCAGCCACCAGAGAATTGATGGGGATGGCCGCTCTATCTTTCTTGTGCCAACTGCCACGATAGCCACACGAGAACAGCGATCTCAAGGCTTTACGCCGGCCGCCTTGAACCCATAACACTCAAAAGAAGCTCGATTCAACCTACACTCACATTCTAACTTAACCTGAGTGATTGGGGTAATCTAATGAGTGTTATAGTGCTTGCTCTATTCGTGTACAGCTTACTTTACAGCATGAAGTCAATTTAACGGGATGATAAAAGCCCATGCCTTTTTTACTGAGTGCATTCAAAATGGAGCGGCGTACCTTGTGTTAGCAGCAAAAACTCCTCGAATTTTAGATAACCACGTAGCCAACTTCCGTCAATATACCGTACTAAATGATTATTCTCTCAGTTGATGTTATAACGGTTAATAGAAAACTGTTTCATTTTCTTTGCTAGACTTAAAGACAAGTCCTCCAATGTGTTGTTTTCCTAAACTTCAGTCAAGATTCATCAGAGCGGCCCTAGTATTAGATAAGCAACATAATTAGTCGAGTTTCGACTGTAACTGGATGGTCGATCATTCACAAATTGGGGACGAGGCAGCCAACGTCCCCAAAGAAAAGCACAAAATAAAAGTGTGGATTGAAGCAAAGCTATTCATAGAGAACCAAACCAAATCAATTACCAACTTCGTACCAAATTTATTCCTTCGCAAGCTGATGGGAATCTATTACGAGCCATCTCCAGTCAGGGACATTCCGAAGTGAAGTCACACTGGGAACAAACAGTAACCTGAAACGAAAATGCTTTCATCCTTGAAGACAAAACGAGTTTTTCTAGGTTTTGCTTGCTATTCTAGCTTTCAGGAAAACGTCAGTCTTCAGGTGTGGAGGTTTAACTGAGCTTCGCACGCAACGTGCATAAGTCGAGTTTGTTTTACGCCATAGGGACTGTAACGTTTACCGTTGGTTTTCTAAAACTAGTAACACAACAAAGTAACCAGGCGCCTTTCCATATGCGCGTCAACACTTGCCCCGAGTGTTACGTATCCGTCAAAATCGCTCCTGGGGCGATTTTGACGGCCGAACGCAACGCACGCGTGTGATGATACTGCAGTCGAATTTTGTGTACGTGGAAGTAAAACGCATGAGCGCATCGTGTCCACAACGCACCCCAAAAACGTGCATACGGAAAGGCGCCTTCCGACGTTTATACTGAGCATATGGAAGAACGGCCAAGGAAGCGACATAACGAACGACCCACGTTGGATGCATCGTCATTACATATCACATGCAATTACTGACGATAAATGATAAACTTGCACTTGATAATTGAAAAAAAGGAAACGATGACGCATGACCAAACATGCTTCATAGTTTCACGTGGACGTTGGACGCGTTAGTTGCATGTACACATATGTGTAAATAAGGAACACCTCGAACTATTGACGCCAGAAAAGCACGTATACGCCTGCGGTTAGACACGATGGAGTATATGATTCAACAACACGCACGCATGCGTTTTTCATCTTTTGGTAATATGAGCATGGTAAGCCCCAGAGGTACCGGCCGTTTCGCTTCCTCTTCAAAGTTGAAAACGTTTCTCGAGATGCGTGCTCGAAACACGTACAGATGTTTAAAAAAACCAAATGTGTTGTTCCCAGGTGGGTTTTAGTGCAGGCGGGGTTACTGGAGGTCCAACAGCCATGGCTATTTTTGGCCAGCTCAAGATGACTGGACCGGTGTGAATCATTGGGGAAACGGGTTTAGTCACTGAGTCTGCCCCGTAAAGGGAGACCCATATCCCGTTCTGTTGCCCGTCCTCACTAGCTGATGTCTGCCTGACGCTATCGTGTCATGTATGCGGGAAAACGTGCATTAACGCAGCCGTGTCGGGTGCAGAATGTGCACTTTGTAGTCCAATTTAGTATCTTCCTCCTTGCTGTCGATGTTCGATTGAGTCCTAGCAAGCTTAAGCTTGCTGAAACATGACTTTGTATTTGATAACTTGACTGACGATTGTAGAAGAGTTCCTTGGCAATCCACTGTCTAAATTTGGCTCCATTGAAAGTAATTTATATTTATTTAAATCTCACTTGATTCGCTATCTTTTTTCTCTGAAGAAAGCTGAAGACATCTTGCTGATGTACACTGACGGCAAGTCCATTATTTATCTTAGAGCAATTATACGACAAGGCTTAAAATTTTGCAGTTGCGGTCTCATCACATCAACGGAAGACCAGCGAGTGAATGCCTGACTCGGTTGGGGTTGGTCTCTGCATGGTCTGTGTTCAACAATATGGACGTTTAAGCCTAGTACTACTGTTCAAAAGCCGTAAAATAGGACTATTACAATAACTATCTGGCAACTGCACATGCATACCTGATCCGGATTCATCTGCTTACTTTGACTCAAACCTTTACCAGCATGCGTGTTTTTTGACAGTTTATTTTCACAGTTTTCAAAAAAGGGGAACATGAGTGGTCGTTGGCGATGGTGTCATGATCTAAATATAGAGCCCTCATGAAAGACCAGGGAAAAACTACATGAATCAATCAGAGCAGGGCTTTGATGGGTTCAGCAAGTTTACTGGGAGGGGGGGGAGATTCCTCCATGTCATGCCATTATCATCCCGCACAGGTCAGCACAGCTTTCTCCCATTTGCTCCCGGGTTCCGACTAGGATTAAGCAGCGTGTCTCAACCACTAGGTGGTCGCCGGGCCCGGGAGGATGAATCACCGGCCAACGCGGCGTGGCCACGCGCAGCGCCAGGCCCAGGTGCCTCGTTCATTTCCGCATGTTGTGTCCCCGCTTATTCCTGGAGTGGCGGGGTTGTTCGGGATATACACTTCAGGAAACCGATCACCGATGGAAAAAAATAACCGGGGTACAATCTTCAAAACTAAACTGGAGCATGCTAGCAGCTCCATTTCACTTTCGACGAACTGTAACATTGTCAATAAACAAAAGCATATACATGCCAATTGGTCAAATTAATACTACAATCTTTATTCCTACTATAAAGAGCTCTCTAAACAGAGAGGCATAAACGAGCAATGCCTTTGAACTCGACTTTCCTATCCGTCTATCTTTGGAAGAACAATCCACTAGGTTGGCTGATTACTCTCCAGTCATGTTCTGGCACGAATGAAGACTTTTCACACCGAGATTCAGTCATAAGGAAATGTAACAACACTCTACTTCCACTTTCTTTTCTTTCTGTAGGATGGACGAGATCTGGAATGGGGAATTCGCCAAAGTCTTCCAGCCGTATCTACCACACATCTGGTACCTGTCCCCAACCGAGATCTGTCCAAGTCCACGCTGGCGGCGATTCAAAGACAGTGCCAAGGTTCGCTTCTGTTGCCAGGTGAGAATGCAACGCATGGTTACCGTGCCAACGTGAGGTTTCATCTTTCCCATATGAATAGGAAATTAGGCTCATGCTACAGAATGACTTGAAGATTACCAACCAAAATCGTGACAAAAAGAGGGCAGATCAAAGGATACGATGACTAATTGTACAAATGGATATCGGTGTTATGTAATATTCCTGACGTCATACCGACCACACAAAAACGAAGTTGTTCAGACTGGTATAGCAGGTAAACGTTACCGTGATGAGTCAAAATCACTGTTATATTTCCCCGGTACATTCGAACATCAAAGTTCCGACTAACAAGTTATATTTCCGGCCATTTTTCAGACATGTGGTCATGGCTGGACATCTATGAAGGGCCGAGTCGTCTTCTGGTATTTCTTGCATATTCCGTACTGTGACGGCTTTGTTCAGTTCAAGCTATACGGTCAACAGTGCCAACGCTGTAACAACGGCCAGTTTGAGCCTGCAATGTGGTACCCTGAGGAAGTCAACAAAGTACTTTGCAACCTCTACAACAGAATTGGTCAGGTGAGTCAGGGAACCAGCTGGAGAAACACTTGGTATAGAGGCGTTGCGTGGTAGCCATCTTGCAGGGCAGTTCTTTTGTTCCACTGGGAAATCTCCTTTGTGCATACCCAGTGGAACACAACCCTGACCTGCAAGATGGCAGCCATGCAAACCCTCTATTAAACTGTGCGATATAGCATACACTCTAAACTACTCTTAAAAAAGACAAACGGCTTTTTCTTTTGACACAAAGGTTACACCAATGTAAAGCCGTTTCCGAATCAAGTGGTGGCTACAATGTCGCTTTGCCCATGAAACATTTGTAACCGAGTAGATGCCGACGTTCCGGAAGGTGACGATATCGTGTATGAGGTCACAAGCCCCTTAGCTACAGACTGGTGCAGAGAGATATACGTATCATCTGCAGAAATTTTCAAATCACTTGAAGGTCCACAGAAAAGAATGACTCTCCATGTCTGCTTGAGATTTCTGTCCTCTTGACTTTTGTACTTCACCCGACATCAATTCTGCACCCCTTATGCGTGGAGGGTCTTAGTCGTGTTTCTAGATACCAGGATGAAAATTCAGCATGGGCTTCTCTTTACAATGTAGATCTACGTATCATTTCGACAGGTGGTGGTTTCTGAGGGGTGGGGACTATGTCACTTTGACAGTAATTCCTACCTCCAGGGTGGGGGTGGGTGGCCTTGGGATAGGGTGGAAATATGTTCACCCTGATACAAGTTTTATTTTGCCAACTCAACATGCATGGATTCCATTCTTTTCTAGCTGGCAAAGTACCACTAAGGTTAGGAAACGGTATACCGGGTCAATCCTCCAAGCACAAGGTTGAGTCTAGTCTGGCCTACACCTTGAACAAGTTGGTGGCCACCATTTCTCCTGAGGTTTTCAACACAATTTTATATCCTGGCACCTGAAGTCAAAATGTAGCGATACAAGCCGCGGTCACAAGAGAACAACTAAACAGATTATCTTGAGGCTTCAGCTTTGTGGGGAAACGTCAACCAGTGAATAGTTAAATAGTCAATTTCAAGGTGCATTCTCGTCAGGGCTTCGTAAAATCTAACCTTGACCTTGGTAATAATACACAGCCTAGTACGGAGACATTCCATCCCGTTTCCTCATCGAAAAACAATGGCATTTGCAGGTGTCTGAACTATATGATAGTTGTACGTACCATAAGTCAAGAGGATGGCTAAAGTGCCATCATTTTAGACACCTTGAAGATCGTCAGTAATGGCAAGGCTTTTAGAGTTTGGGAATTCCAGGTCTTCAAAACATACAATGAAGCCTCTCCGTGGCAATTTAATCAAAGGTAAATCAAGATGAAACCATGCCAACCGTCATGCAGGAAGATGCGTAGGCGTCATTCTCTGTCTGTTTTTCTCTTTATTTCAGACGTACTACGGATTCGTCAAGCCGCCGATTCGCTATGACCGTCGAGCAGGCAAGCCTCGCACACAGCACAACGCCAACTTGTGTCAGGCGTGTCGAGACGGCGAATGCGATAGCCGGCCACGGACCACCACGCCCACGACAGGTGCGACGGTAACGCCCACCCCTGCCGCAGGAGCCACCAAGCTGCAGGCCGTCAGGGTGTGACGTCATGATTGATGGACGTTCAGAGGATGTGGTTGGTTTGTACTTCTGTTGTCAGCTCCTCCGATGAGCAAGTTTGAAGTCGTACTTCGTTTATGTGCAGCATGGTGATAGCGTGAAAAATTTGAATTCCGGGGAGAAATACGTGTGAGAGTTTGAAAGGCTTTTTTTAAATTGAATATCAAGCTGCTTGCTGATCAGGGTGACGTGTTTATAGCTGTAAAACCATGCTACTTTGTAACATGATCTTTTAATCAATTTTTTTGTAGAATCGTATGCCTCTTTGCATGTAGTAGGAGGTCAAAGGAGACCCGTCTCCCCTTGATTGGAGTTTTCCGTATTGGAAGAGCTTACAATCACAACACTGAGTGAGCCTCAACTTTCGGGTTAGTTGCTACTCGGGACCAACATCATTTTGTTAGAATAAGCCACGCCCGAAACGGTTATGCTGTGGCTTGTATTTTTGTTATTGATAATGTCAGGTTCAGACGCAGCCGTAAAATTTTGATGACCTGTTCGCTGGTTGCCGTGACAAAAACCTGTTTTGTGTAATGCTGATTGACGACTGTGAAATGACTCAGACAATTTACATGGCCGTCGTTATATATGCACGAGATTTCACCATCGAGGCTCTCAGGTGAACTGACCTTGAAGACTCACGTTCCTTTACTTTTGACGTAAGTCCACGATGTCTACAGTCATTGCACCTTTTAATTATACTGTGTCTTTTAAACAGCGCCCTCTTGTGTGATGTATGTAGACTACAAACAGTACAAAATGTGCGCAACTCCCCGTCTTGTTGGTGTTGACAGAAATGATCGAGACAATACACAATTCTAAAATACACATTAAAGATGGTGACAAGTGCTTGGTTTTCTATAATCACCTTTTCTCTGAAAGGAATCTCCAAGGGTGCCTTCCTCCGTGTTTGTCTCCAAACTGGAGCTCAATGAAGAATATTTCATTTTTTAATGTTACAATGTAGTAAACTATCACTTGCAATTGTGTACAGTACATTTTGTATGAAGATAGAAGACTTTGTAGTAGGCAGACGCAATTATTTTGAAAGGTTTTAAAAGTTTGAGTTAACCGTTTCATTCATGAAAAAACGATACTTGAATATACTGAAGCATGGTATTTAAGGAATTGTTCAAATGTTTTTAATAGTTATGTTGAGATTTATTAGCCAAAGGCTTGTGTATTTTGTTGAGGGAAATAAGATGGACAATGCAGCGTTACATTTTCATCTTGGCATCTATTGCAACATTGAGTGTGTCAAGCACGTCTTGGTGAACACAAATTTTGCAGAGTGTATTCCTTTATCGCGTCTTAATAATTGATTAAACAAACTAGAGGTGCCATACATCCAGTGGACGAGTGACAGTTTCACCCTCTAAGTAGTTCCAACTTTGTTTATTTCGGTGTTGGTTTCGTTTAGCAGCTGCGTAGTTTTGTTCCGAAGAAAGTCTGTTTTATGTTTTCAATTGCAATTTCTGATAAAAAGTTTTTATCTTGAGGTGGCTGCGCTATCACTAATAGAATACTGTAAAAACTTCAAAATCGAACTAGAAAATTCGTTATATACAATGACGTAAAATGAGGCTCTGTTGTTACTATTAGAAAATTTAGTAGAGTTATTTGAGCTATATGACTATTTGTACATAACCGTATTAACTTTTACCTATTTATGTAAATAAGAAATAATTTCCTTCTGTGTGAAAAGCCAGATTCATTTCACATGATGCCTACACTGTTATCAAGTGCCAATCCTACAATCTGTTGGAATAACGACCCAAGAGACGGTGTAAATGGTAAATGAATGCCTTTATTCTACACATCCTATCTTCCAAAAAATATGGTTTTTATAATGGACTCAAAGTAAACATGACACCGTGTGGGAATTAAACTGTATTGTGACCAACAATATCCATAAATCCGACGTTATATATCCGAATGGACATCGAGATACTGGACGGTTTTCATGCATACAGTGAAGTGCATGCAAAGCTCGTCCTCCTGTGCGTAAATATCCTATTTATATTAGAACTGACCTAAGTAAGCCGCGAAGTTAATGTCGCTTATGAACATTTGCACCGATTATATTTTCACAATGATGTTCCGTATAACATTTTGATAATGCTACATTACAATTGAAATATGATTTATCACGATAAACAAAAACGGGAAAATTGGGTGAAAAAACATACAGAAAATCTTTGCCAAGGTTAAATTGAAAAAGGGTTTGGAAAAGAGATCACTCGAGAAACAGCTCAATTCATTGGACACAATTTCACTCCCAATCGTTTTTCCCCAGTTAAGTTTTTATCAAGCAGTGTGAATCATCTTCACACGACAAAATAAAACGCACACGCATCCAAAAAACAAGGAATATGATCCTCCCATTCGCTTTACTTAGTCATGGAAGTCTCGGTTTGAATTTACGTCAGTGAAATTACCACTCCTTGGAATTTGGACTATGACGTGTTTCTTTTACAGGCATATTGGCCATTTCACCGTCCACGGAGACTCAACGGTGAACGAACTATTGCTGGGCAGGACCCGTATGCTCTTAAACTTGTTTTCTGTTCCGACAGCTATAAATATAATTTATAGCTGTACAATAAGTGATAAGTAATACTAGCGACTGTAGACGAGACTATGCTATGATTAATGGTTCTTATTTTCAAGCCTGTAATGGGATGAGTGTGCGTAAAGAACCACACCCTAAATAGCCTCTGTAGCCTTAGTTTCAACATGTGGTTCAACTAATCTGGTTTAATGCATTAAAGCTTGGTTGACTGTAGCCGCATACACCGAAACAGATCCGCTGGTTGTTAGGTCATTGGTGTGGGGTCTGTAACTATTATCAACGGTTATCGGTGATGAGTCATCGTAGCTCGTTCAAATTTGGTATTTTGCCTCGATTTCGTGCACCGTGAAATGAGAGCGTAATTTGACTCGTGACGTGAAAATCAAGAATTGTCGGCAATCTTGGCACAAACACAAGATTCGAAACAGCATTGTCTCAATGGCTGACCATGTCTGACAAATTGTAGCTAGTGTCTCTATAAACATAAATAATATAAATTATATAGTACGAATTGTGCCTTAGACATTCTCCATCAAAAGTATTTTGTTGTGGTGACTGACAATAAATTTAGAAATAAAAATCGGTATGTGACTCTACCTTATGAATTCTTTACTGGGTCAAATATCTAGGAAGAAGTACAGGAACAAGTACCAGTCAGTATTCCAAAAAGCCAACTTGCTCGGCAAGCTGACCAGCCGACGCCATCAAACGCCAATCCAGACAGCCAACTATATGCAATCAATGAGGATCATAGATGAGGACATTTCAACAGTCCCACAGAATGCGCGCGCACAAGAGGTCCGTCGGGAAAAAGAGGTCCGCGTGAGTGATTGTGCACGTACCGAGTTGATATCGCCCCCTTCCATGCTAGTGCTTATAGCTTTCATGCCCCTCTGACACCTCTAACTTCACGAGCTGTGAATAGAAGAGGTCCATTCATCTGGTCAAAGCCAGCATTTATAACGGCACTGATTCTACAAGATGACACGACTGAGACTGACTGCCCCACAGACCAATACAAGTTGAGGGGGCGCTCGTGCCAACCACCATAAAGAATACCAGCCGCTGACGGTAATGGCCGATATAAATTTCACCTGTACAGCTTCCAACAGATGAGTGTTCACGATACTCCCGGTCAAAGCCCGATCATTTGGACAACGGCTTCGTATTGAACGACAGCGAGTGTACTATGTATTGCTGCGATATATCATTCTGTTCAGTCTGATGCAATGAAACGACAGCAAACAAAATCCACATGAAGCGATTTCACATTTATTGTTGCACTCTGGTATAATATCTAGTGGGTACAGGATTGGTACCAACAATACAATGAACACCCTTCTCAATGTACATGAATACAAATAAATATCGAAGACTGTTAAACATACCTTAGAAAGCGATATAGGACTGCAGTGTATAAAGGAATCAACGGGGGTATTTGGGCGTCATTCTAGCTACTCAAACTTAAAGAATCTCAGATGAATAATATCTCCTCAAAATATATATCTTACATACAGTCAAGATAACAATCAATTTCTGTACAAGCCTGTTTGCATTTCACAAGGAACAGAACATAGGCTAGTAACTTTAAGCACACAATCACTTCAGAGCAAAAACATATACATCTATAAACACACGCTGTACAAAACAACAAACAAAAACAAAGCCTGATTAACTTGATCCTAGATATTCCAAACCCTTAAAATTTAGGATGACTTTCAATATTCATCATGGAACTTTTGCACGAAAAGAAAATCTCATTCGAGAGCAGAGCTCACGTGCGAGTTGCCGGCCGTATGACCACGCCGACAGGGCAGACCTCGTGCGCGTATTGCTGTAGCCGAATATGGCCTCGGACGCGTTTCATTTTGGGCATGCGCAGTCGTAATGCTGAACTGGCTCATTATTGGGAGCTGATAAAATCTCCGAGTGACGATTCGAATTTGTGTACGCGCTACTCCCATGAAACGGTGCTGATGAGCCGGCTCGGTATCCAAACAGCGAAGGGCCAAAATGAAGTGCGTCGGACGTCACGTCGCGCGCGTGCTTTGTTCCCGAATGACCTTGTTTTTTGAGATACCGTACTGGCTAATTAGCAACGCCGTCCTATGGAACATGGTGTTGGTGCTAGCTCTGAAGCTACCAAAGATCCTCGGAAATGTGTGACCATCTTCATATTTCGTGAACGCAAATTACTGCGCCACTCTCTGAGAAAATATTTCTCACAGACAGCTAAAACTTTTCCATCGATTCTGATAGGTTGAAGCTATTTTTTCCTCTAAAAGTGTAAAATTCCAGCTAAACCTAGCATGTGCAAGCATTACACTTGTATGCTGTCGCTGGCTTCTATTTCTTGCGGTTGAGGACTCGAGGGTTCTTGCCAAAAATTTACTACAACATGTAACACTCGACACAGTGCATTTCTAAAGTCATTAACCTGAGACTTCATTGCATAACAATAATGGAGCCTTGGGGTATTTCAATAACGACCACTGTAGCTCCTATGCCAGTACTTGGGTAACGTGGGGGATTCTAAGCATATCAAGTACGCGTATGTGTTCCACAGAACGTTAACAACGAAAATATAACTCCAATTAACAAGCCTATTATCAATCCAAATGTAAATGTTTATGATGACACAGGTTATTTGCTTTAATAAGTGAAAAACGAGGAACGTATTAAACCTTCTCATCTGAGAACACCACCAAAAGAGCTTCGTGTATTTTTGTGCGAAGATTGGAGGCACATGATAGTAACTACACATGATCACACAAACATGTGAAAACAATCAAAGAAATTGCACTGTAAAGTTATTCAACACGATAGGCTGCCTTCTGACTCTTCTGCAGTAAAATTTGTGTTTGAAGGCCTTAGGCCAGGTCTGGGTGTAACACTCACGGCTTCGGCCAATAGCAACACCATTGTTCAGAGATGTCTGTGTTACACTACAAGCCGCAGCCACGACTTCGGGCTGCAACCATTTCTCTACGCGCACGCTTGTGCTACTTGCACCAATCCCATTGGTTCGTGACTGCGCCACATACACGCTGGCACTGCCATTACTAACGCCTACTGGCCATTAGCTAAGAAGTGAAATGTTTACTACTCTCCGTTCCGATAGTTTCTATGCCACACCGTGCAAGTGGGTGCGGTTTAAACTGCAATGACGTCACACTTACGAGCCGGACAGGTGCTAGTAACTTGCAAAAGTAAGCGTACCTTAATTTTTAAAACTACTGGTGTGACACATTAAAGTGTAGTGTAACCTTAGTGATTTCTGCCAACAACTAGTTATTGCAGCTCTAGATGTCTACTCTTCGCGACTGAGTTCTGATGATTCCCGTCTTACTATGTACAAAATCTTCACAGGAGTCATCCAAATGTTCTTTATACGAGTTTGAAACTTCCAAAGTACACCACCTTCTCAACCTCTGTATACATGCTGTGGACGGTTCAAAAATAAACACAAGAAAAACAAAACGAAAAAAGATGTCTGCATGAATATCTATCCAATAGACGGTATTTCAACCACTTTTATCAAAATTCACAAAAATTGACCGTAGGGTGTAATTTTTCTGACTAGGGTTTGCCGGAAAATTTCAACGTATGTAGAACAAAAATGGAGAAAAAAATAACAAAGGTAAGTTTGCAGGAGAGTTCAAAACACAAATATAAGAACAATGCGAGAGAAAAATGCTTTCAATTAATTAAACATGCATAAATCTGACCCAAGTACAAGGTACGCTTTGGTTATCATACGCGCCAGTCAACTACATTAAGTAAAGCTGAAATTTCGCGTTTCTGTTCAGAGGTACATTTTCTTTAAAATAAAATTCGAAAAGTCAAAATTTGACACAAAATATAACACCATGCAATACACTGTACGCTGAGTGCACTGCTTCAGACCTTCAAAGCAGAAAATAGAATATCGAAATAAAGTTAATATCGGCCGAAGGCTGACGTCTAGCTGGTCAAAAGAGGCCAATTTAAAACAAAAATAAGACCAAGATTTCAATTTGTTGAGACTGGTCCTAAGTGCAGTACACGTCCGCTTAGCCTGAACATTTGTTACACAATATCCCCTGCTGGAGAATTGTATGAATAAATCTTGCACTGATGACGAAAAAATACAAAAGTTGCAGAGCAACGGAGGCCTCTGGATGTCATCCATAAAAAAGTGAAGCGACTCAAGATAATGCTTTTGCTAATGTGGCCACCCTTTAGGGCAGGACACGAAGGCCTTCACAAATAGTGTCAAAGTCACTTTAATCAATACTTGGACAGCAGCTAAATTCTAATATTGCAAAGAAGACTCTTGTCTGTTTCAGGACGTAAACATCAAAATTTAGCAACTTCTCTGTTTTTGCCTTTTGGTTTCAGCAGTTTTCAAACACAGATACGCTACACACGTTTAGATACATTTCTTGGGACAAAACTTTTCAGCACAAAAACTGTTAGCTTCACAGTTTATAATATACATGTATATACACATTTCGAATGTCCATAAGCAGCAGTGTTTGTAATTATTAGTAAAAAAATTATTCGTAAAAAAAATTTGTAATCAACACTATTTAAACAATTGAAATCACTGGGATTATAGCTTCTCCATTACTGCATAAAATCATGCACTATTTCAAAAATGAACTTTTTTCGGTAGCATTTTTGTTTGTGATCATTAACCTGCAAAAAATTTCATTCTTCAATGCAAATATACTATATAATACTCTTAAATGCAAAATATTTTCCTTCAAAGTTTAAAGAGACAAGTACAAACTTTTATACATTCTGTGGGATTATTTACAGACATTTTCAGAGTATAGTCAAAAGCCGAGACAAGATCAACAGTTGGTTTGAAAAAGTCAATGCAGAATTATATTGAGTGGACAGAGAGTGAAGATGGTAGTGAATATGAGAGGTCAAAGGACTAGACAAACTGGATTGAAAGATTTCCACTTGTGTATGTTTTGGGGCGTTGTTAGGTTTTGTAGAGTTGTCTAGAGTTAATGGAACAACATAACACTCCTATCTTCAATCATTGCATAAATAAATGTATATCCAACAATCCTCCAAGACAGTGCCTGGGTGGGATAGTTCTGTGTTCGAAAAAATCCCATAAAACTGGCCAAATGTTACATTGTGGCAGATTTTTTGGAACACTTGACATAACTGCAAGTTGTTTGATAAAAATCAGTCTTCAGTCATGTTGAAAATAAAATGCAACAAACAAAAAACACACAAGAGAGGGAAAGTTGAATATATGTTCCCATATCAGGGAAAGCAATTTTAACTGACCAAGAAAAAGGATAAAAAGGAAAATAAAATCTACATAACTGAAGAGAAGATTTTCTACAAGTTACCATTACGAAGTCACACTGGACAGGATATTTGCAGCTTGATTCAGACCAAGGATTGTGTAGCCAAGAGTTTCTTCAACCAAGTTCCAATTACCATGCTCCCTCTCCGTGACGATCATTTGAGACAGTGGACCAAAGAATGCCCCCTTGTAGACGGATGTCACGTTGGCGCTGTAGATCAGATGCCTGTTGATAAATACATGAGGTCATTTATGAACTTATTTTTGACAAGTTAAAATATGACCAGGGTATTTGAATATGGTGCAAAAGGTTTTCAATAGCTTTCCATTTTCAATGCAGTAAAAAGAATTATCCAAGCAACCTATTTTCCCCACAAACTATCAAACATTTGACTCAGTTTGGAATTTCAATAAATAAAAGTTATAGAGGGTTTGGCTACCATGCAAAGCCTCTATGTCAGTGAAAACACTCAAAGCTTCTATTGATTCCATCAACAGAAGTGAAAGACCTTTAACTCTTCTTGAGCTTGTTTCAACTATTTCTTGACAAAACAGTGGAACGGGGGTTCCAGGGTGAACACCAGTGATAGATCCTTTACTGCGCAGTGATCTCTTTGAGGCCACACGACACATACACAACCTTCTTCAGTTCCCTGGCTCAAGAGTACGCTCACAGATTTCTTGCGAATTTATGCGGGCATCGAATGCTGGTGTCAACGGAGTTAGATTGTCAGCCCAGCCTGTCAATGAGGGCGGTGCTTTATCCGCCCCAAGCTGAAGACAGACTGGTATGAAGTTTTCCAACCAGGTTACATTCAAGACTGAATTTGTTGTGTGTTCTTAGCGTGCCTTTCGTCAAACACGCATAAACTCTGCACCTATGTGGTACCAAAGGATTGTCAATTTCATTTAAAAACACGCCCTCTTTTGCTCTTGTTTGGAGTAGATACACAGAGTAGACACTAGGCAGGTCTGGTCCAACTGCTATCCCATCCAATTTCAGCTTGAAGAGAAATAGCAAACTAAACTCTATGTTTTGATGTATCACCCAGTGTGGAATCCTGAGAAAACTTGACAACACATGGGTACAAATCTTGAGGACTCGGATTCATTTACATGGCGCAAGATTCTTTCAAAGGCCTTTCACTCAAATATTGCTCTGGAAACCTGTGACACATTGTTACATTGGGTTACATTCATCTACTGACCTTGATTCAGGATTAAATGGTACACCTTCATTGATTAGAAATGCTCTCTCTACAGACATGATGTTGTCATTCAGTTTCCGCAAAGTGAATTCACTAGAAAACAAGTCAAACAAAAAACAGTCACAAACACGACAGCCTTTTTATTTCATGATTCTGAATAATTCAACTGAAATTAACATATATGCAAAGGAGTCAAGAGGACACTAACTGTAACATTTACAAAATATATCAGGAAATGTTATTTAAATATGCCTATTCAAAAAATATTGCTATGGAATCAAAGTCACATTACTTCAAAGATTTGTCACAGCATTTTTAGGTTAGCTGATTTTTGAGCTGAATAGCAACTTGCATTTTACCTGTTTTACAAACTTGAATACTTCATCCTGGTCATTTCCTAAATTCCACAGCATGTCCAAAGCTGAATCTTTGGTGCCATTCTATGCAAATTTTTCGGTCGGTTTAACGGGCGACTCGTATGCAATGTCAATGCCAACGCGAACTTGTGAAATAGCAGCAAACTCATGAAGTACTGTCTCTTACTTCAATTTGTCCACTTACTTTGTAGATATGTCCCTCTTTGAATATAAGGAATGGGGTTTTACTGAAATAAATGATCATGTGCCCGGAACTGGAAAGTTGAAC